TTACATGTATTGACCCTTTCAGTCTTAATTTTTAAAATTTCTTTTGAGAGAGAGAGAGAGAGAGAAAGAGAGAAAGAGCGAGAGAGAGAGAGAGGGAGAGAGAGAGAGAAAAAGAAAGAGAGAGCAAAACATTGATTCGTTGTTCCACTTATTTATGCATTTGTTAGTTGATTCTTGTATGTGCCCTGACCAGGACTTGAACCCACACTTTGGCATATTGGGATGACACTCTAGCCAACTGAGTTACCTGGCCAAGGCCTTTTACTGAAAATCCACAGGTAACAGTTAGGTAAATACTATTATTATTTTCACTTTACAGATGAGGAAATGGAAGCACAGCACGGGACTACAGATTTGGGCTACCATTTGTGTTCTTAACCACAACTCAATTGTCTCTCAAATTTAATAAATTCTTATATGAAATATGGGTCCTGTGATACATGTGACTATACATATTTAGCCTCAGGACAAAGAATTTAGGCATACATCTTAAACATTGCTATAAATTAACTAAGAATAATAGAGCAGATAATAACATAAAGCAAAGTCTTTCAATGATGAAATCTAGTTTCTAATTCCATCTCCACCAATGTCCTGCTGAATAATTCGTGACAAGTCCTTTCATTATTTTAAACATTGGTTTTTCCACTTAAAAACACAATGGATCAAATCAGTCTATCGCAAATGCCATAAAGATAAAACAAGGGTATGTATTTGGAAACACATGGAATAATATATAATTATTTAGGATGCTATAGCATAAAGGTAGTTTATTTTGATGTTTTAATATTAAATATTATTTATTTTTCACACAAAATCTGTAAAATAGTACAGTACACACTGCCCTGAATCTCTGTAAAAATGTATGCTCTTATGTACAAATCACTATCATTTAATATACAACAGTGTGTGAAATTCCAATGTGGATTTTTCTTTCAGTCAGAGACACTGCTTCTGTGGCCTTTGCCTCAAACTCTACAGAACGGAGCTTACTTATAGCTTCTATTTTGTGACTTTTTCTTCACTGTGTTCAACAGATTCCATTATTTCTGACCTGAAGATGCAAGGTCTAGCTCCCTCTGAGCACCATCAGGGTGGCTCTAAGAAAATACAACACATAATATCCATCTCTTTCCATGTGAATGAAGCTCAGAATTAACCCAGAGGCAATTATTGCTAGCATTAAATTGAAGTTGAAATCACTGGGAATTGCCAGGGAATTTAAAGAAAATGTGTCAGTGAGTCAGGAAATAGCAAATTTGGGTCTCACAACAGAAATGAGTTGGCAACATGTGGAACTCCATGTGAATCCAGAATGGACAAAATTTTATAAGAAATAATGCCAGGAAAACTAAACTAAAGTAAATTAATTGAGATATGGCGTCACTGCCTGGATCTTGAGCATTGTCATTATTTTTTCTTTTTCTTTTTAACATCTTTTCTATAAGTGACCTTAAATTTTTCTCTCTTAATGTTATTCTTTTACTTCCTCTGCCCCTTCGCCTTATCACCGGTATTTTTAAGATGAACTTAAGATGGCAAATTCTAGAATCCTCTTTAGGCTTCATTTGGAGTTAGTGATGTTTGCTGTACAATCGTTTTGAAAGTATGAAGCCCAGCATTATCTCTGCACTTAATAGACTTGCAGAAACTACATCTTCTTACAAACCAAGCAGGGGTGTCCCTGCTTAACAGGGTTCATGTGATAAAATAAAAATGTAGTGGGGTATCTCATTATCCCAGGGTGATATAGCTAGACTGAAAATCCATTACAGTAGCAGCTACTAGATAAATAAGAGCTATAAAAGGATGTAAATAAAGTTAGCATTATTCTAGGAAAAAAAAAAGATAATTAAGAATAGAGGTAAACCAGATATGCTCTTTGAGATTGAGATTAAAGCAGAGAAGATCTGATTGTATTGTTGGGCCCTAAGACCCCCGGAGAGTCCAGCAGAGGAGGCGACGACCCCAAGTCAAACGCAGAGATCGAGGCTTGATGCAAGAGCAAGAGGATTTTTATTACAAGCGCAGCGCAGGGGCTCTCAGGCAGGCAGGCAACAACACAAAGGAAGTGCTGCTGACTGGAGCCCCGAGCAATTGCAGAACACGGGTTTATAAAGGCAAAAACCACACGCAGGTGGCCGGAAAACAGGGAACTGGGTTACCAGTTAACTCATAACTCATCTTTTACAGGGACAGGTCTTTGTTATTAGTTGACTCATTTCCTAAGGGGCCAGGGTGGTCTGGTATGCGCAGGCCGATCCCGAGGAGTGATAAGATAACTATGCTATGACCAGATCAGGGCGTCAGAGCTTTACGGGAAAGGTCAGGAGGGGGAAGTTCTCTTTAATCTTTACATTAACCAGAGCTTACTGGAAAAGCTGGTCCAGGGGGAAGGGGGGGGGGTTTTCAGCGGCCTTACATTCCCCCCTTTTCTTGTGGGAAGTTCCAATCATGGAACTACAGGCTAATGTTTGAGGGTACAGGCTGATACCGCTGTTGGAGGACCATTACCTGAACTGCACTAATCCGGTCCTGGATGAAGGCGATTAAGCGGTTTACTATGCATGGCCCGAATGTCAAAAGGAGGAGTAAAATGATCAGGGGTCCCACGAGAGAGGATATCAGGGTTGTGAACCACGGTGAGCTGTTAAACCAACCTTCAAACCAGCCTTGCTTGGCCTCTCGCTCTCTTTTGCAAGTTTCTAATCTCTCCCTAAGTTTTGACATGGAATCCTTTATCACCCCTGAATGATCAGCGTAGAAACAGCATTGTTCCCTGAGAGCTGCACACAGCCCTCCCTCCTTTAAGAATAGGAGATCTAGTCCTCTCCTATTTTGTAGGACTACTTCAGACAAAGAGGTTAGAGACTCCTCAAGTTTAGTTATGGAGTGCTCTATATGTTTGAGGTCTTCATCTATAGCAGCTCTGAGCTCCTCAGTATAGGTGGGGCCTTTAATGAGGGCTGTTGTCCCTGTTCCTACTCCTGCCGCGACCCCTAGACCTAGGAGAGCAGCCAAGGTCAGTGAAACAAGTTCCCGTTTATCCCGATGGGAAGGAGAATAGGAGTCAAATTCTTTTTCAAATGCATTAGCTTGATAATACATGATCCTGGGGACTAGTTGGACAAGGATACAATAATCTTGAGAACGGTTAAAGGCCTGGGCTGCTAAACATGGAGTAAGTCCCGTACTACAGGCCCACCATCCCCCTGTTGGGGGCACTAAGTAATAGCTTGCAGAGGAGGGATATGCCAGGTTCTCCTTGCAGAGATGCTGGCGGTCCTTTGGCACTTGTCCTATACATGTGCCTTGCCCTGAGACCTCAGTAAGGGTCAACTTCCCCTGCTGTCCCCACGAACAGTGGTCATGGCTGGTGGTGTTGGTATAGTTTCCCTGGAAGGCTATGCCCTCATAGTAGGGGGGCCCTGTAGTTAGGCAGAGCCAGCAAGACTCAGTTAGGTTAGACTTGGACATGTTTAAAGAACTAAAGGCCCCCTCTACCAAGCCTAATAGCCTCTGACCTGAGTTTGTCTCTAGTTCTATGGGGTTGGCCTGTTCCTCCCTGGAGGCTGGGCTAGTTCCTGCCACGGTGGTGGTGGCAAGAGGCCTTTCTTTCGTGGGGAGCTGCCGGCTGGACAAGACGGTGTTGGGTCCTACTGCAACTGGTGGCCTGTAATCCTGTACATCTAATCTTATCTTAAAAAGGAGGCCATCATCATGTTGGTCCTTATACAGCCGGATCCCCCATGTCACTCCCCAGCGCCACTTGTTTAGGTCGTATGACCGCCCAGCTGAGGTGAAGGAGATATTCAGGGCGTTAACCCAACCCCTATGTCCGGAGGTTTGGCTCTCATTTCTCCGAACCTGGATGAGGTCCCACTCGGGGGGCCCTCTGATCCAATATCCAGTACCAGTTGTCTCACATCCCCATTCTGCACAGAAATACTCTCGTTCAGATCCACAATTCTTTCTATGTCCCTGCCTGTCTTTGGGGCATACATAGAATTGGGTCATCGTAAGACGCTCACGGGCCCCCAGATAACTACAGTGAACTCCAAATTGCAAATCTCTTCCTTTTCCTATGTAAGCTCGGGTCTCTATACCTGCTTTAGTCTCTTCTACTGTTCTCTCAGGGAGGTCCCATAGTCTGTATCCTGCTGCCATAGCGCAGAGGTCTGGCGTTAAGTCTGGCCACCATGTCCCTTTAGGTGCTATATTGGTGACCGACCAGGCCGTCTGTCCGGTGTGGGGGGACATTACCCTCCAAGTTAGTCTCTTTGGGGCATGGGGGTTGCTACTTATCAGCGGCAGGCTCAGCAGGAAGAGGGCGGCGGCAAATCCGTAGCTTGAGAGGGTTGTCTGTCTTCTCCACAGTCCATCCATGATCGGTGTCGTCTGATGGGGGTGCCCGCTTGACGTGGGAGGCGTGGATCCAAGCAGCTACACCGTCTACCTTGACCGCTGTTGGGGTTGTCAGCAATACCAGGTGGGGTCCCTTCCACCCCGGCTCGAGATTAGCGGCCCGATGGCGTCTGATGTACACAAAGTCTCCGACCTGGAACTGGTGGGGGACTTGCAGTTCTCCTGGTTGGTAGAGGGCGGCCAGGGGAGTCCACACCTCCTTCTGGACAGTCTCGAGGGCCTTCAGCCTGGCAAGCAGGGATGGAGGGGTGTGAGTGTCTGTGGGCACGGACCAAGGGTCAGCGGCTAGGGGCGGAGGGGCCCCAAACAAAACCTCGAACGGTGTCACCCCCAAGGGGCCTGGGGTGTTTCGCGCGCGGAAAAGGGCAAAGGGAAGGAGGACCGTCCAGTCTGCCACGCCAGTCTCTAAGGACAATTTAGTCATAGCCTCTTTTAATGTTCTATTCATTCTTTCTACCTGACCTGAACTCTGGGGCCTGTAAGCACAATGCAATTTCCAATCCGCCCCTAGTATCTTGGCCATTCCCTGACTTACCTGGGCAACAAAAGCTGGACCGTTGTCTGATCCAATTACCTTAGGAATTCCAAACCGTGGAAAGATGTCTTCTAAGATCTTCTTGGCGACCACAGTTGCAGTTTCTCTTTTGGTAGGGAAGGCTTCTACCCAACCTGAGAAGGTATCTATGAAAACTAAAAGATATTTATAACCGTATCGGGCGGGCTTCACTTCTGTAAAATCCACCTCCCAGTAACTCCCGGGCCGGTCTCCCCTGAGTCTGTGTCCGGTCCCGACCTGGGATGAATGTACATTTACCAGCTGACACGCCTTGCATTGCTTAACTACTTCTTCTGAAAGGCGATCGAGTCCTTTGACATAGTGTCCCGTTGCCCGGCTGGTGGAGCTGAGGTGTTTGGCCCCCAGGTGGGTAAGGCGATGCAGTTGTTGGAGGTAGGCAGTGGCTGCCGCCCTTGGTACTACCATTTTTTCCCCTGCAGTTCTCCACACTCCTAGTTTGTCCTTATGGTATTTTTCTGGCCTTTTAAGCAGGTCTTTTTCCTCCTCTAGGGTGTAGTGGAGGGTCTCTGGCTGTGGTGCTGCGGGGCCAACAGCGAGGGCGAGTAGCCGGGGCCCTAGAGCGGCCTGCCTTGCCTCGGCATCCGCTTTCCTGTTTCCTATAGCTGTTTCCGAGGTCCCTTTCTGGTGGCCGGGACAATGGATGATAGCTACCTCCTGGGGGGCATGAATGGCTTCTAGGAGGTCGAGGATTTCCTTTTTATTTTTAATTTCCCTTCCTGCTGAGGTGAGGAGACCTCTCTGACGGTATATAGCCCCGTGCACATGAGCAGTGGCAAAAGCATAACGACTGTCAGTATAAATATTAGCCCGGCTGTTCTCTGCCAGCCTGAGAGCCTGTGTCAGAGCAATTAATTCAGCCTTCTGGGCCGAAGTCCCTTCGGGCAAGCTACTAGCCCAGATAGTCCGGTCCTTGCTGACCACAGCCGCTCCCGCCACCCTCTTACCTTCATAGAGGTAGCTGCTTCCATCCGTGTACCAGGTGAGTTGAGGCTCTGGCAAGGGGGAATCTTTGAGGTCTCTCCTCGGCCCTGTTTCCTCTGCCAGAATGTCACGGCATGAGTGTAGGACTTCTTTGCTCTCAGGATTTACTTCCGGTAGTAAGGTTGCTGGGTTGAGAGCTACCGGAGCCCCGAAGCGGATTCGATCTTCACTTAGCAGGAGACTCTGGTAGTGAGTCATCCGGGCGTTGGATAGCCACCGGTCCGGTGGCTGCCGGATAACACTCTCGAGAGTGTGTGGGGCCACCACAGTTAGTTTCTGCCCCAAGGTAAGTTTGTCCGCATCTCTTACAAGCAGGGCAGTAGCTGCAATTGCTCTTAGACAGCCTGGCCACCCCCTAGCCACTGGGTCTAGTCTCTTGGATAAATAGGCTACCGGCCTCTTCCAGGGGCCTAAGGTTTGAGTTAGGACCCCCCTGGCTACTCCCTTTCTTTCATCTATGAACAGAGTGAAGGGCTTGGCCACATCTGGTAAGGCCAATGCCGGCGCCGAGAGAAGAGCCTTTTTAATGTCGTCAAAGGCTTTCTGATGAGTCTCCCCCCACTCGAAGGGGTTCCCTTGTTTTGTCAGCGGGTATAGGGGCTCCGCTAGGGTTGCAAAACCTGGAATCCAGAGGCGGCAGAATCCAGCTGTTCCCAGGAACTCGCGTACCTGCCGGGGGGTCTGCGGTCTGGGAATCTGGGTGACTGTGCTTTTTCGGGCTTCAGTGAGCCACCTCCTTCCCCCTTCTAGTGCGTATCCTAAATAGGTCACTCTCCGCTGACATATCTGGGCCTTCTTGGCCGAGACCCGGTATCCTAGGCGGGAGAGCTCTAAAAGCAAGGCCCCGGTACCTGTTTCACAGTCCTCCTTAGTAGCTCCGGCGAGGAGAAGGTCATCCACGTACTGGAGAAGGGTGACTTGCGGGTGGTCAGCACGGAAAGCAGCCAGGTCTTGATGAAGAGCCTCATCGAAGATAGTGGGGGAATTTTTGAATCCTTGCGGAAGTCGAGTCCAAGTCAGCTGCCCCGTTATTCCCGAATCTGGGTCTCTCCACTCGAAGGCGAAAATATTCTGGCTGGCAGGATGCAGTCTTAAGCAGAAGAAGGCATCTTTTAAGTCTAGGACTGAATACCACACATGGGACGGAGGGATAGAGCTTAAGAGATTGTAAGGATTGGGGACCGTGGGATGAATATCCTGTACCCTCTTGTTGACTTCTCTTAAATCCTGCACCGGTCGGTAGTCATCAGTTCCGGGCTTTTTTACCGGGAGGAGTGGGGTGTTCCACGGGGAGTGGCACTTAACGAGGACTCCAAGGCGTAGGAGGCGTTGGACATGAACCTTGATCCCCCTCCAGGCTTCTTTTGCCATGGGGTACTGTCGTACTGCAATCGGGGTTGCAGTGGACTTAAGCTCTACTATCACGGGGGGCCGTTCGGTAGCTAAGCCCATCCCCGCAGTTTCAGCCCAAGCTTTGGGGTATTGCTGTAACCATCCCGCTATCCTCTCGTCCTTTCGGACATTACTCTCAAACAGCCGATGCTCGTCTTCGAGCTGGAGTGTCAAGAGAGTAATTGGCTCTCCATGTTGGGTCAGGGTCGGCCCCCGTGGGGTGAAAGTGATCTGAGCCCCCATTTTAGTTAGCAAGTCTCTTCCCAGAAGGGGGGCTGGACACTCGGGTATTACTAAGAAGGAATGAGTCACTCTTCCCGTGCCTAGATCAACTGTCCGGGTGGTGGTCCAGGAATATTGCTCATTTCCCGTTGCCCCTATCACCCAGGAGGTCTTCTGGGAGACTGGTCCTAGTGGTTTCTTAAGAACTGAATATTGGGCCCCTGTGTCTACCAGAAAGTTAACAGGCTTCCCCTCCACCTTAAGAGTTACCCTAGGCTCGGGGAGGGGATCCGAGCCCCGACTTCTTCAATCACTATCTTCCTGGAGTGCCAGCGCCTTCTTTGCTAGTCTCTTTGGGCACTCCCGCTTCCAATGTCCTTCTTCCTTGCAATAAGCACATTGATTCTTCCTTAACGGTGGCCTGTTGCCCAGGGCCCCTGCCTGTCTTCCTTTTCCTCTCTCTTGTGGCTTACTCCCTTCTATTGCTGCGGCCAAGATACGGGTTAGTCTCTGCTCTTCCCTTTTTTCCTTTTTCTCCTCCTTCTCCTCTCTCTCTCTCTCCTTCCGCTGCTCCTTTTCCTCCTCGGTCTCCCTCTTATGGTACACTTTCTCTGCTTCCTTAACTAAATCTTGGAGGGTAAAGTCCTGCAATCCCTCAAGTCTCTGCAGCTTTTTCTTAATATCTAATGCTGACTGCCCTATGAAAGCCATAGCTACTGAGGCCCTCTGCCCCTCCGAGGTGGGGTCAAACGGGGTGTACCGTCTGAACGCCTCCATTAATCGCTCGAGAAAAACAGAAGGCGGTTCAGTGGGCCCCTGTATGACCTCTCTTACCTTAGCCAAATTCGTGGGGCGCCGAGCTGCCCCTCTGAGGCCGGCCACTAGTGTCTGGCGGTAGACCTTCAGGTGCTCCCTACCTTCTGCCGTGTTGAAGTCCCAGTCCGGCCTGGCCAGAGGAAAGGCCGCATCCACCAAATGAGGGAGTAGAGTCGGCCGGCCGTCGGGGCCAGGGGCGTTCTTCCGGGCCTCCAAGAGGATCCGCTCCCTTTCCTCTGTAGTAAAGAGAGTCTGAAGAAGCTGTTGACAATCGTCCCAAGTGGGCTGGTGAGAGAACATAAGGGACTCAACCAGCCCCGTTAGACGCTGGGGATCCTCTGAAAAGGGAGGGTGGTTAGTTTTCCAGTTATAGAGGTCTGCCGAGGAGAAGGGCCAGTATTGGAGTGGCTGGAGCGGAGCCGTTTCATTATCGTCTCCGCGGGGGGGGTGGAGGCCCGTATGGTCGGAGAGGGCAGGCTACGGTCGAATCTGGAGACGCGGGATGTCTCCTCTGACTCCGGGTTCCCTGGGCCGGTCCCTCTGTTGGAGGGGCGGGAGGAGGTGCTGAAGGCTCCGGTCTCCCCGGCGGCTCTGGCTGGAGAGGAGAGGGGTAAGGGGGTGGAGAGTCCAAGAGGAGAAGATCGGTTTGAGAATCTGCCAGGGGACGTTTCGTCTGATCTGCGGCGGGAGGGGCCTGGGCCACGAGAACCCGGGAGGTTCCGGATGGCAGCCAGGGTTTCAGCCAAGAGGGAGGGTTCTGGACCAGGTCCTGCCAGACGACAATATACGGCTGCTGGTCTGGATGGCCCGCCGGGCCTGATTGGAACACCTTATTCTTTACTGCAAAAATAATAGACAGGTCAAAAGTCCCGTCCGCTGGCCATCCCACGCCTAGGGCTGGCCAGTCGGATGAACAGAAAGTCTGCCAAGGACCCTTCTTAACACTGACAGAAAGATTGAGTCCCCGACTCCGGACGTCCGTCCAGTGTGCTACTGTAAGAGAAAGAGGGGTGCTGCTTCCGTGGCCCATGTTACCTGGATGGGAGAAGAGGAGTAAAAGACAAAAACAAAGAACAAACAATGACGCGACAAGACACCGGATCCACAAGAATTTACCCAGATACAGAACGGCCGCTGAGGGATGATATCCCTCCCTAATGCTAGTCCGGCCGGACACGCGAGTGCCCGTTGCCGGACAGCCAGAACCTGAAGTGACCAAGACCTCTTGGTCACCACCCGATCCTGGGGCGTCCCCCAGGGCGACAGTTTTTCTGGCCGAAGCCCCTACGACCAGAGGAGCCGACTCCTTACGGAGCCGACACCCTGTCTTCCTGAAAAACCGAAACTAAGAACGAACAAAGGACAAGACAAACACTGAATGACTCCGGAGTCTGCTTACCTCCAAGACCGATCCCAGCGCTTGAAGGGGGTCGCCTAATCCCGGACGAGCCCCCAAATGTTGGGCCCTAAGACCCCCGGAGAGTCCAGCAGAGGAGGCGACGACCCCAAGTCAAACGCAGAGATCGAGGCTTGATGCAAGAGCAAGAGGATTTTTATTACAAGCGCAGCGCAGGGGCTCTCAGGCAGGCAGGCAACAACACAAAGGAAGTGCTGCTGACTGGAGCCCCGAGCAATTGCAGAACACGGGTTTATAAAGGCAAAAACCACACGCAGGTGGCCGGAAAACAGGGAACTGGGTTACCAGTTAACTCATAACTCATCTTTTACAGGGACAGGTCTTTGTTATTAGTTGACTCATTTCCTAAGGGGCCAGGGTGGTCTGGTATGCGCAGGCCGATCCCGAGGAGTGATAAGATAACTATGCTATGACCAGATCAGGGCGTCAGAGCTTTACGGGAAAGGTCAGGAGGGGGAAGTTCTCTTTAATCTTTACATTAACCAGAGCTTACTGGAAAAGCTGGTCCAGGGGGAAGGGGGGGGGTTTTCAGCGGCCTTACAGAGAAGATCTGATTGTATCACACTTTTCAAGTGACTTTGAGGAGAACAATTTGATCAGGAGATAAATCAGTTTCAACTAGAAGAGTGCCCTGCTCTCTCTGAAACCTGTGGCACCAGGAGGCAAGTTCATCTTGAGGCTGGGAAAGAAGTTTCAAGCATAGAGGTGGGTTTGTTAGACAAGAGAGAGATAAAAAGTGATTTTTAGCAGATGGAACTTGTGCCATACGTGATGAATAGCACATGAATGTGTGTTTACATCTTACCAAATCTGCATGCAGTTTTCATTCCAAGCTGCCCTAATAAAAATTATTATGCATCATGAAATGTATTAGAACTTATTCTGAACTCTGAATTACTTTTGAATATTTGTTTCTGGGTGCTATTCCAAGTAAACACTCTAAACTCTGTACCTATTATTTTGTATTCTGTAGTACAGAGATGCCCCAAACTGATTACCAGTGTTACCTAGGGACTTAACAAAAATAGGTGAATGGATAAATGTTGATGGATGGGTGGATGGATAGATTTTTAAATCCCTCTCCAGATTTATCAAACTGGAAGTCCTGGGAGTAGAGTCCTGGAATTAACACATGTAAAAAATTCTCTTGTTTTTAAATATATTTTTATTGATCTTTTTACAGAGAGGAAGGGAGAGGGATAGAGAGTTAGAAATATTGATGAGAGAGAAACATCGATCAGCTGCTTCCTGCACAACTCCTACTGGGGATGTGCCCACAACCAAGGTACATGCCCTTGATTGGAATCGAACCTGGGACCTTTCAGTCTGCAGGCTGACGCTTCTATCCACTGAGCCAAACCAGTTAGGGCACATGTAAAAATTGCTAAGACTGTTCTGACACTTGACCAAGTTGGAGACTCATGGCATTGCAGTGGGGGTTGTTAGGGAAGAATATTAAACAAAAATAAAGACAGGGAATTGATATTTCTAGGGGTTTCATCTCTGGAGAAATGGCCCTTTCTTTGTTGCCCTGTAGTGGCAGCAGTGAATTCCAAGGAGACACTCTGGTGGGAATTACTCTGGTTTTGGAACCTTCTGTTGGATGTTGCTATAGGGTCCTGCTTCCATCTTTTGGCAGTCAGGTGAGCTGAAGAGAAGCAAGGTCTAGAGAGCTAAAATGTTTCATTTTCACTTATATGCTATTATCTATGAGCCCTAAAAGGTGTTAAGGACAATGTTTTGGAGTCCACTAAAGGGGTGGGGGTAGAACTTACAAGACTGGCACAATAAAGGCATAGTAAAGGTGTGCCCAAGGATCACACTTTTGCTAAGGTGTGACCATTGTAAGGGTGCATTTCAAAGGATAACCAGCAGGTGACCTTTCTGTTAGGTCAGAGGGAGCCCAGGATCAGATGCAAGCAGATGTGTGACGAGATAATGGACCCTCCCTGGAATTTCTAACAGATCAGCGTGCCAGACACAGATACCGGCTTCTCTCTGGAATCCACAAGGACCCCCACACAGATACTGACTCCTTCCTGAATACCCTGCAGACCCCCTGCGGTGGGAACTTCCTCAGCTCATGCCCCCGCCCCTCATTAAACACCTGTATAAAAAGAAACCCCTCTTCCCTGTTAGCAAGAATCCACTGGCCCTGTCTTTGGGGTTTGTGAGTCTCAGATTAAAACTTTTCCCTTTCTTTCTTTTCTAATTGACTCTACTCTCTTTGTTTCCTATGCCGCCTCCTGAGCCACCTAACACTTTCTAAATGTAGTGGGGAAAGATGCAGCCCCAAAGCAGTGCTCACTCTACCCTTTTTTCCATGGCAGCCCCTTCACTCTTTCTTGCTTCTGATGTCACAAATAAAGCATCTTTCCTGATTGGCCTGAGATGTGCTTGCCTGAGTCTTATTATATTGCTAGTTTGCTCTATTTACCTCAAAAGTATCCTCACAATATAAATAATACCCCATGTGCAACACAACATCTCACTTCATCATCTCTCTTCACCCCTTGTTAAAAATGGTGTAGTTATGCAAAGACAGCCATCGAAATTCTCAAGCCCAACCATCACAAAGGCAGTCAAAACAAAGGTGGTCATTTTCCTTTTCTGAACAGTGCATGTTCGGATGGTGTAGTAAAAAAAGATATATCCTTTCCACAACAAGAGGCACTTCACTTTAAATGCCTCCTGTTGCTTTCTAATTTTATGACAAGTTACTAGCCCTTTCTAAACCTTAACTATAAATTGAAGATAATTTCTACTTTACAGGGCTATTGTTAGAATTAATTGGGATACAAATATAAAGTATTTTCTATGTAGGCATTATTCAATAAGAATTAAAAATCTTTCCTCCTTCTACCTACATTTATAGACATCAGAGAAACATTTATTTTTCTACATTTATTTTTCTTTTCTTTTTGATGAGCTCCACAAATATCCAACACTCTAGTCTTATAATTAGGGCTACATAATGAGGGAGCCATGGGCAACTAGGAGTTCCATATATGGGCCTTTAATTTTCGATTATTGTAGGCATGTACATTTTGGGGACAAAAAGTTCATGACTCTCTTCAGATTCTGAAATCACCTTTGACCTACATACCCACCTAAAATGTTGGGAATCACTATTTTATCTGACTAATAAATAATAGTAATTTCCATCTGTAAGTTGGAAATCCTCTCTGTAAGCTTCTGTTGGGCCCTAAGACCCCCGGAGAGTCCAGCAGAGGAGGCGGCGACCCCAAGTCAAACGCAGAGACCGAGGCTTGATGCAAGAGCAAGAGGATTTTTATTACAAGCGCAGCGCAGGGGCTCTCAGGCAGGCAGGCAACAACACAAAGGAAGTGCTGCTGACTGGAGCCCCGAGCAATTGCAGAACACGGGTTTATAAAGGCAAAAACCACACGCAGGTGGCCGGAAAACAGGGAACTGGGTTACCAGTTAACTCATATTTCATCTTTTACAGGGACAGGTCTTTGTTGTTAGTTGACTCATTTCCTAAGGGGCCAGGGTGGTCTGGTATGCGCAGGCCGATCCCGAGGAGTGATAAGATAACTATGCTATGACCAGATCAGGGCGCCAGAGCTTTACGGGAAAGGTCAGGAGGGGGAAGTTCTCTTTAATCTTTACATTAACCAGAGCTTACTGAAAAAGCTGGTCTAGGGGGAAGGGGGATTTTTCAGCGGCCTTACATTCCCCCCTTTTCTTGTGGGAAGTTCCAATCATGGAACTACAGGCTAACGTTTGAGGGTACAGGCTGATACCGCTGTTGGAGGACCATTACCTGAACTGCACTAATCCGGTCCTGGATGAAGGCGATTAAGCGGTTTACTATGCATGGCCCGAATGTCAAAAGGAGGAGTAAAATGATCAGGGGTCCCACGAGAGAGGATATCAGGGTTGTGAACCA